ACTTGGCTGCCAGAGTGCCTGGGCTGGGGGTCCCTGGGTGTGGTGAGGGTGGGTCAGCTGCACTTTCGTTGATGCGGGTTGTCATCCCTTGACGGTGGCCTTGGGCTGTGGGTCCAAAGTTGCTTGGTCTCCCAGGCAGTGTCTGACCTGGGATGGGAGCCTGGGGGCTGCTGCCCCATCCCACATCCATCCCCACAGCCCCTGCTCCAGCAGTGTCCCCATGGACAGCCTTGCTTATGGAGTGGCCGCTCTGTGTTTTCTTCAGAAAAAGGAAAAAAAGTTCCCTTTCTTTACTGCTTAGCTCATTCTTAAACATTTATATTAGGGGGGTTTGCGGGGAGGGGAAATAATTGTGTAATGTCTTAGGAGCAGGGGAGCATTCCAAAAGCATGACTGCGGGGCCTTTTCCAGCACTAGCACTCTGGCAGCCACGTCTCTCAGTGGCCGCCAACCTCCCTAAACCCAGCCCCAGCCTTCCCACCCCTCCGGGAGAACGGGACTGTGATCCCTGGCTTGCATCTGTGTGGAGTGGGCTGCGAGCAGGGGCTTGGCTGAGCCCCCTCAAGCTAATATCCCTGGGAAAGTGTTCCAGTTGGGAAACTGGACACTAGAGGCAGTGGTGTGGCTGGCTGCGTATCATGGGGACTAGTTGCGTTTTGTTTCTATTTTGCCAAGTGCTTTTGGTGTCCAAACAGTTTCAGTTTATGTCCAGCTCCTCCTCCTCAGCTCAGGTAGACACTGCATGAGATTTTATGGACTTCTGCTTGAATCCAGGTTCCTGACAGCTACAGCTTCTCCAGGGAAATATGTAAGTGAAAATAAGCCAAGTCACTATCTTGCTACAGGTTATCAGGAACCTTTAACCAGGGTTACCTTCCGACTTGCTGTTTGCACTGGAGAGGCGCACTGACATGAAAAGTAAGGATTTGTATTAGCAAATAGTGATCGGCGCTGGGGCAGGCAGGCGTTGCACAAGTACAGGCATCTGCTGATATTGTGGCATGTTGTTGGGAGCTTTCAACAAGACATTTGCGCTACCGTGAGGCTGGGAAGGCTGTCACTACTGCAGGAGGTAAAATAAGAACATGGTATGATGTCCTTTGGAAAAGGAGGTAAGGGCAGGCAGCTTTTCCCACACTGCTCAAACACTTGTGGTTTGACCTTTGTTTAGGCTTTCAAATTCTTCTGTTCCAAGTCCCTTTCTCTGTTTTGCTTGTGGATGTTTTCTGGGGGATTTAGCAATGAAAACGATCCACCCCGGACACTTTGCTCCAGGTCTAGGTCTGGGAAGTTGCCCTTTTCCACTGGAGTGTGTGTTAAGCCCAGCCTGCCTGGTTGTGCACAAATATCTCCAAAACTATGGGAAAGGTCTAAACTTGTGCACTGCGTTGAGCTCCTACTTTGACAATCGCTTGTCATTTGGATATAGCAGGTCTGGAGGTCTGAGGAAGGTTTCAGGCAGCTCTCAGTGGTAAATACAGACATTTTCCTTGGTCTTTGCTTCTGGCAGCAGAGGGATGGCAGGTGAGCCAGGAGCAGTGGGCAGCGGTGGTGTGGGTGGGCGTGGGTCAACCCTGGGTGTCGGCGAGGGCTGCTGGCCAGGGCTGAGGGCTGCTCTGTGCTGCACAAACTGCACAGCTCGGCCAGCCTGGGGGCTGGATGAGCATGAAATTACAGGTGCTGCTTTGCCAAAGCCAGCGCCACTTGGATGGTCTTGCTGCAATCCCAAGCTCTGCCCTGCCCTTTGTATTTCCCCTCAGCACAGCCGTTTGCTTCCAGCCCTTTTTGGAAATGTTTTCTGCCATTCAGCCTTAATGATTCCATGACTCTGTAGTAAGAGTCCCTCCGGTGCTTGCAACAGTGGCTGAGACACTTGTCCTGTACAACCTTGGCCATGGCTTAGGTATGTCAGCAAATGAAATTCCCCTCAGTGGATATCCCTGTGGGGTTTAATTTGGAAGTTTCCTTACTTTATCATTGTACCAGTGAGTCCAAACTGCTAAAACTATTTCTGTAGTGGAACTGCCCCACAGCACTGGGGGTATCCCTGTGGGCAGTGTCCCTGCCAAGGGGCTGCTCCCAGCACAGCTCTTTGCCCCCCCAGCCCTGCCCAGAGTCAGAGCTGTGCCTCTGGCCAGGGCTGTGATCCCTGGTGTGACTGGTCTGACTGGGGTGGGGCCGTCAGCAGTGCTTGGGAATTTCTGCTTTGGAGCAAAACCCCTCTGTTACCTCTAGGAAGTTGAGTCTGGCCAAGGAGGTTCATTGAAAGATTCCTGCCCCTGGTTGGAGTCCTTCAAAGCACTGACATCTTTGTCTGCTATTCCTGAGTCCCCATAGCGCAGACACTGGATGATGGACACATCCTGCTGCTGGAGGAATCACTGAGTTCAACTCCTGGCCCTGCACAGGACAATTCCCAAAATCCCACCATCTGCTTGAGAGCATTTTCCAAATGCTTCTTTGACTTCTGTCAGGCTTCAGGCTGTGACCACTTCCCTGGGGAGCCAGTTCCAGAGTCCGTGATACTCTACAGCATGAGTTTGGGTGGCCTCAGACCTCTCCAAAACACTCAAAAGAGAGATTCTGGCTCTGGGAAATTATTTCTCACTCTACTGTGTCAGAGGCTGTTGAAAATAGCTGCTGTCAGTATCCAGGAGTTCCTGTGTGTCAGCAGTGGGGTGAGAGATTGTAAGGGGCTGGCTGTTCACCTTGCCAAAGGAGCTGGAGTATCTCTGATGTTCTCTGATTTGCTCTCCATCCCTGGTTCCTGGGGCAGCCTCACAGGCAGCTATCCTTCCTCTGTTCCAACAGGGGCAGGGTACTCCTGGCTGCTTGTGCCTCCATTCCATCTGTGCCTCCATCCTGCCCATGCCCTCATCCTGCCCATGTCTCCATACCGCCAAACATGGTCTTACAGAACAGGCAGCAGCAACAGCAGACCTTGCACCTCCTCTACACCTATTTTCCACCCAGCAATATCTTTTGGAAGGTTTTTCACAGTGACATTGTCCCTGTGAATGTTGGTGTCAGCCCAGTAGCAGGCACGCAGTTCCACTTACCAGGACAGTGCCTGCAGCCAGACTTCTGCCAAGGAGAGGGATGGGGAGGGTGGTGTCACCGATGTCCCTGTGCTGGCTGCTGGGTAACAAGTATCTGCTCTGTTCACCTGACAGTGCTCCAGAATACAATGCACCTTCCCTCAGCTGCAGCTGGCAGCCCTTCATTTCTCAGGCTTAAAAATAGTCACAGGCATTATAAACAGCCCTGCATGGAACACAACAGAAAACTTGTTTTTCATCCTCTCCATGTTCCTTGTGGGAACAAATGCTCTTATCTCCCTTCTGTGCTTGGTTGACTTCTCTGTGCAGGACAGAGACGTGGAATATACAGCACATCCAGCACCATGCCTTGTATAGAGGAAATTATCTGTTTGTTTATTTCTGCTTCTATGATGTTCCAAGTTCTTCAGCGGAACCAGGATGAAGCAGCAGCCACTGGGGAATCATTTGGAGACTGGTGCCCACCAGCCTCTGAGCTTTCAAAAAAAATCTGCTCACAGACTTTGGCTCTTTCTCAAGAGCGCCTTCCAAATCCAAGGGCTGTATGGCATACTCACATTAATGAACACTTGCACGTTAACAGTTATGAAGTTTTTACCTTCTGCTAAAAAGGTATGAATTATGCATCAGGGAAATACATGAGTTAGCGGTGTGTAAAGAGCTTGGAGCGGCCCACGGATCCAGTGTGTGGAGGCGCCACAAGCCCTGGGGTTTTCCTATCTCTGCCAGACCCATTCTGGCTGTCGGCAAGTCAGCGCACGGGCTCCCGTCCCAGTTTGGTGCATGCCCAAAGGCTGGCCTGGGAAGTCTGTGAGCATGTCTGGCTCTGCTCTCCCTGGGAAAGACACAGCTGCTGCTGCTGGCCCTGCCCTTGATATGCCACCAGCTTCACCACATTGGATTTTCCCCACAGAGTGAAAATAATGAAAACTAGAGCCACGTCATTTTGTGGTAATAAGGCATTTTCTGCAATCCTTCACAGCCTGCCCTTCACTGCCACAGGGACAAGCTCTCAGTGGTGCCTTTAAGCCTGGCAGTAGGTTTGGTTTTTGGGAACCGCCACGTATGTTTGCTTCCCGGGGTGGGGAGGGCCCATTGGAGGTTTTCTCCCAAATTTACCCTAAACCATGACAGGGGACCTGACTACATCGGGCTGGGTGTTCATCGCAATCGTGTGCTGCAGCTATGGCAACATTGCCTTCCCAACCTCGTTCCCTAAATTAGCTGCTATTTAGGCTTTGTTTATAGCTCTGATTAACAAACGGAGTGTTGCATGTAAAGGTTCTTATTTATTATTTGGCAGATGGGGATCTGTTAAATTCCAGTTGGAAATGAGTTGTGGGAAGATCAGGGTCTTTGCAGAAACTTCCTTCTAAAACAATGGAACAGGACCAGGGACATGGAACTCACGCACCTATGGCACTGCCCTGGGAATGAAGGACAGCAAAAATTAACTTCATAGAATCATAAAATGGTTTGGATTGGAAGGGCCCTTAAAGCTCATTATCTCAGCCCTGCCGTGGGCAGGGACTCCTTTCCCAGGCCAGGTTGCTCAGCACCATACAGGATTCTGTGCCACAGCTCCCAGGTCCTGTTGTGCCATTCATGCCCTTGATGGTCTCCTGCTTTATGTATGCAGCAAATCTTGTAAGATTTCCTGTCTTTTTTCTCTTCCTTCTCTCCATGCACAGTCCATGAACAGCCGCCTCTCTGCCTGCTGCTCTGTATGGAATTTTTACAGGTGTAATGTACATTTTGACAAGGATTGTGAAGGCCCGAGGGCAACAGAGATATTAATTGCACACTGAATATTCCACTCATTACTAGGACACACTGAATATTCCACTCATTACTAGGACAAAGCTTCCCATTAAATAATTCACAAGTGGAAGACATGCTGAGGAAACTACCTCTCCAGAATAGTGTCCAGGCTCCCATGAGCTGAAGGAGAGAGTTGCAAACAAGCAACAGGCAAACAGTTTGACATAGTTTTATTTTCTCCCAGTACCACTATGATCTATAAGCCATAACAGGCAGATCTTTCCAAAGAAGCTGTAAGAACTCGTTAATATTCATGCTTTTAAATAACAAGGCAGCAACGGCTCAGCAGCGATTATACCCAGTAAGTTTTGATGCACTCAGCTCACATCCCTAGAGGCTCCAGCTCTATCAGCTGGGCTGCTAGGTGAAGGACAAGATGCTCTGCTCCTCTTGTCTTGCTCTGGCTTGTCTCCCACCAATCCAGCCGCTGCTGTTTTCCATCAGTCTGCATCTCTCAGCTAGTGGCTGTGCTCTAGGTAAAACCCCACTGCTGTGTTTACCCATGCAAGCCAATCCTCAAAATCTGGCACCAGGCAGCATTCAACATGAACCTGCAGTTAATTACACCTTCTTGCTAAAATAATTGAGTAGCCTACATTCTGATTGCAGTAATTGCATCCTAATGAACTTACGTGTCAGCTTAGCTTGTTTCACACAACTTTGGCATTCCAATATATATATAAATATATAAATATGTATATAAATACCAAGTTAAGTTCATAGTTCAATCTCGAGGCACCAGGAGTCCAGAACCAACCTCCTGAATGGAGAAGGCTGGACTTGATGTTCTTGGAGGTCTTTTCCAAATTTAATGATTCTATGATTCTATTCTATAGTCACTCCAGGAGCTCAGCTGGGGGACGGCTCTGATCCAGACCTTGTCAGGAACAGAGTTGGGCTTCGCTGGACAAACAGTGGGATGTGGCTCCAGTGCCAGACCAGTGCTGGGCACCCTCCTGCTCTCAGCCCCAGCTGCTGGAAAACACTGCTGATGTTCTGCCAGTCCATGGAAGGAGATCCTGAAGAGTCAGAGAAGAAACTACAAAACCATAAATTAACGTTGCTAACAGAAAAGTGTAATCCTATTGACTTCAGTGAGACTTAAAAGCAAACAGTTATGTTAACTATTAATTGTTATAACTAAGAAGATCAGATCAGAAGCCCAACCTGTGCTTTATGAAGAAAATTAAAGCTTCTACAAAAGTTACTAAAATGATGACATGCTCCCATTATGGCTCTTTACAGATCATTACTTATTGTCAATGTTGTTCAAGTTTGCTACCAAAATACAAATGATAGCTTTCTATAAAACTGTGCATGTTAGTTAACCTCATTAAATCCTAAAGGATTAGTCAGCTGTTCCTCAAAGTTATGTGGCTTGGAAAGTGATTTTCTAATATGCAAACTTCAAAGGAATTTTGAAATCCTGCAGCGTAAGCGAGACAGACAAATGTTAATCCACTGGAGTGCTGCTTAATGGCCTGTTTAATTTTTGTATTGCTTGGTCTCTGTAAGCAGCTGGACATGAAGGCTGCTTGCAATTCAGCTTCCTCTTGAATCACCCCACTCATGGAACATGGATTCCTCTTCCACATGGATGACAGTGCTTGCAGGTATGGCCACGTTCCCGTGTCCTTTCCCCAACCTACAGCTATGCACGGACACAAACCCACCTGGGGAGGGACTCCCCAAGCTCACTGGTGCGTGATCACAGACTCCACAAATGGTTTGGAAGGGACCTAAAAACTCATCTCATTCTAAATCCCCTGCCACGGGCAAGAACCTCTTACCACTATCTCAGGTTCAACCACGGGATTATCCACGTACAACCTGGACTTGGACACTTCCAGAGATGGGGCAGCCACAGCTTCTCTGGGCCGCCTGTGCCAGGGCCTCAGCACCCTCACAGGGAAGAACTACTTCCTAATACCTAACCTAATTGTTTCCTGTTTTAGTTAGTGTTAGGGAGTGCAGGGAGTTTGTGCCTGCCCAGTGTATCATGCAGAATTGGGAACCCACTATCACACAGGCTTGGTGGGGACTACTCTGACTCAAATAAATAATGCTATTAACTGTGAAGTAGTGAAGGAATAAAACACACTGCATTTTGAGAGCACAAAGAACTGAAACCCACAAATTAATTAAGATTCACAGCCCTCCTGTACAATACAGAGATAATTGCTCAGTTCACAGTTCATATGGGATAAGAGGGAAAGCGATGTGGCACAGTGATAGCAGCTCTGTAATATAATAGAAGAAGCACAAGTGTCACTTCAGCCCCAAGAAGCTTCTCCTGCTTCCCCTGCATCTCCTGGGGCTCACAGGGGACTGGAGGAGCTGGGCTTGTGTACTCCAGTGCCGAGTA